GAAGTAAGACTTTGAATTCTATTCTGGATTTGACAGGGAGCCAATGGAGAGAAACTAAAACTGGAGAGATATGATCTCTCCCAGTAACTCCAGTTAAGACTCTGGCAGCAGCATTTTGGATCAACTGAAGACATTTTAACACACACGTATATATATATATATATATTTATATATATATATATATATATATATATGTGTGTGTATGTGTGTGTGTGTGTGTGTGTGTCAACAGCACATTCAGAAAAAGACTGACATCAACACTGTGCGCCACAAATTATTTCTACCTGTGGCCATCAGACTGTACATGTCAGACTGTGATATCTCAAAGTGTTGTCCATGTACAAAATATTATTGCCCCCAATTTTTTCAAATTTTGTTCAGTTAGTGTAGTGAGTCTTGACAGTATTGTTTGTCTTTCCAAAATTTATTTTACGTATGGATTGTTGTAACTGTACGTATAAAATATATATGTGCTGTATGAAATAATTTCAAGGTTACTGACGTAAAAAAAAAGTGTTTGTGTGTTTTTCTAGTAAATGGTTCCAGGCTGGGTCCCCTCCAGTTTGAAAGTTTCTCCTCTAATGTGACAACGTTCACCCTTCGTCTGCCAGACCGATCCACCCGCTACAAGTTCATGCTCTCAGCTCTTACCCAGGTGGGAGCAGGGGAGGTCTATGCTGAGGAGTCTCCACACTTTACTAACGAAGGTGAGTGACCATGGCCTTTTGTTTGACAACAGTAAACTGTCTCACACCTTAAAAGCCTGAATTAAAACTGAGGGTTACTCTTCTCACAATTAGTTTTTAGCAATTTGTTGTCACCCGTCACCGTGCAGAGGGGACTTGCAAATATCCTTCATCTATCCGTGCATCCGTCTGTCTTGTGAGCATGACAAATTGAAAAATAAGTGAAATGCTGACTTCCATTAAAGTGTGCAGTTGAATCAAGGCATACAAAAGCTTCATTTGGAAAACTGAGTTACCACCAAAATCGAAGATGGTTGTCACAATATAAGTATTTATGTCACCCGTGTGAGCTGGATAACAAAAACTAAGCAAATTTTATTTTGGTGTGACTGCTTCTAGGTGGAAGAAAGGTCACTACTGAAAATTGGGACCCTATGTCAAAACCAAAGATGGCCACCGCCATATATATATATATATATATATATATATATATATATATATACACAGTGTTTTTCACTATATAAGCCATGTTTTTTTGCATAATTTGCATTCCTTATGACATTCGCTGATGCAACCTATTTATGGATTTTTTTCCATATTTATAAACCAATTTTTGGCTGAGATATGACAGTGTTCATTCATTTTGACTGAAAATATTGAACACTACCATTTTCAGCCACTAGATGGCACCAGAGTAATGTGGCATGCTGTTGTGTCATGTAGTAGATAAAAGTGGCTATTAATGATACAATCGGCTAGCCATAGCCTGCCACCTTCGTCCAGCTCGCCTGGAGCAACCATCAAATCAGCTTCAATTCGCTGCGCCGCCCCAGTGAAATGCAGCTAATATGACCGTTGAAGTGCATTTATTAAGTAAAAGTTCAACTGAGACACACATTTGCTACAAAGTCGAGCAAACAAATAATTATTTTAGGTGCTTGTTAAATTTCAAAGAAATGTGCAGCGTTCCTCCTCTGATTTTCTTCCTGTCTGCGCGCTCCCAGAGCACCGAGGCAGCGAATACTTTTAAAATGCAGCTGATTTCACTCTTAAAGTCCTTTTATTAAGTAAAAGTTCAACTGAGACACACCTTTACTATAACGTCGAGCAAACAAATAATTGTTTTTAGGTGGTTATCTTGTTAAATTTTGAAGTTATGCACAGTGACTCGTCCCTCTGCGCGTTCTTGTTTCCACGTATCAGTTTTTGAAATGAAGCTGATTTGACCGTCAAAGTGCATTTATTAAGGAACAGTTAGACTTAGACACACCTTTACTATAATTTTGAGCAAACAAATAACTGTTTTTAAGTGCTAATCTTGTTAAATTTTTGTTAAAGTCCTCCCATGCACGCTCTCGTGGCTGCCATTTGGCAGCCAATCGATTTTTGGTACAACACCGGCCCACATTTCCGGGTTTGACCCTCATTTTCAGGTTGTCAGCGGTGATGCGTAACAAACGTGACGCGCCAGCGTTGATGCATAATAGATACGACGTATACGTCGAAGCGATGTGTTCATGTTTTTTGTCCACTTTATTAGACATGTTTGGACTGATGCAATTTATGGGGTGGTGCGATGTTTACGGCGAAAAATACGGTATATAATGTATATATGTATGTGTGTGTGTATGTGTAAACCGATTGCCCCTACCATTTGGGAAAACTTTGCTTTCTAGTTTTTATATTGCTTAAAAGTATAGTTTTGTCAAATGATTGGGGTAGCTGAAGATTAATCAATAGGGGCCAAGGCCACCATTGTTCACCCCCTGGTTTCTCCACTGCACCTGGTGGTGGATAAAATTGCTCCCTTCACTCACCAGGATTCGTCACTCTGTGCAATTTGATCACAGTCCAGTCCTCAACTGATCTATTTGCTCCACATCATCTTATCTCTGCCTGCTGAAAACAGACACTTTTACATGTTCCTCAGTCTCTGTCATCCATGACCATTTCAACATACGCTCTGTCCAACACCAGATGAGTTAATGAAGTCTGCCTTTAAAAACTGAATTTTTGACATGTGTGGTCCTCACAGTGCAGCAAAGTTTGCTTTCTTACAATGACACTTTTTTTTTATTCCACTTTTTTTGACCAATCTACATTAAACTGAATATAAACTATTTAAATCGGGCTCCGATTCGTAGTTGTGGTAAAATTAATTCTTGAAAAAAATCATCCATATCAGCTTCTTCAACTAAGACTTGTGAATATTTGTAGAAACGTGTAACATTCTCAAACAAGAATCTTTGACCCATACCGTCCTATTCCTAAAAAAAAGTAGCCATTCTGGATTCAAAGCATGTGGATCATTGATGGATGTTTAAGTTGGTCTGGGCTGGTGTCGTGACCTGATGTTGGTGAAATGAATATGTCTTGAAGCTGTTCTGTGTGTGTGGTCTACAAATGGTATCAACTGGTCTAGCTAGAGACATGAACGGACAAGAAGCAAAGTCTGAGTGTCAGCTTAGCAGTTATTATTATTAATATTAAACATTTGCTCTCTCCTCTGTGTCCTGTTTTTCCTTTAACAGAAAACACAACAGGTGGAGGTAATGGGGAGCCAGAAGTGCTCTGTTTACTGCATTCATGCAATATGGTTCTTCCGTACATGTTCATCTAACACCAGCAGCAGAGCAGCTCACTGTCTTGTATGGACAGGAAGCACATTTTTCAGCTCCACTGCTATGGTTAAGACAGAGCTGAGATATTTAGTTTGCCCCATCAGGATGAGATTTTATTATCAGCGAGGTAGAAAAATAAAACTTTCCGGTGATTACTTAAAAAAAAAAAAAAAACGACTTGCAGTTCCATCCTAATATTTTTACATATAAAACAAATGTGCTCAGGTTTTCTTGTTTTAAATTGGGCACTTCTCAGTAATTTTTGGTTTGAAGCTGGCATTAAAACAAAACAACATTAAACCTGAGACCACTTTTAAATCAGTGTATCAAGAGGCCTTTAAGGGCTTTTTGATAATTAAAAAAAATAATAATCAACGTTGAAGCCTTTGTAGAAGTCCCTTAGCACATCATATTTAGGTGAACTCATGGTGGTATAAAAAACAAAGTTCTTGTTGCTACGTTTTAGATGAACTGTGCCGTTGTTCTGTCTATCATCATTCTCATTTCTCTGCACATACAGCTTCTGTTTGTCTGCTGCTGCTGCGTAATATGGGAATATAACGCTGCTCTTGATTTATTTGAATCAATTTAGATGCATATAATAATCTCCTGTCAGTGGGTTTACCACAATGGCACCTTTGCAAAATATTTTTTCCCGTTGAGCTTGAGCTTAATTTCTTGGGTCAGACCCCAGTGATGCACTGCAGTGATGCACCGGTGTAACGCAGCATCTTTGCAACACCCTTTTGTTTTTGTATGCTTGAGTTAGCCTGAGGTCGCCGCTGATAGATTTAACAACTGAGTGTCACCGTAAATATTGTTTCTATGATGCTGCAGTTTTGGCTGTCAGAGGAAATGCATGTTCACGCATCCGAATGTTAAGCTCAGAATTGTCTTGTTGAAATATGCAAGAAGGCAGACAAACTCCATCAGTTTTTGACTTGCTCACTCATTTGCTGGCTCAGTTGTTTTGTTTTTAAGCTTTTTAAAGTCCTGTCATTCTGCCATCGTCATCTGCCACCACTGTTTAATGCACGATGTGTCTGGACAGGTAAGGTGGCACGAAGCTTTTGGCTGAACTCACTGAGCTTTAATATTCCCTGAATGTGCTGATGTTTCACTGGTTAGCTGACATGCTTGTCATGCAAGCATGGAGGTTTAGGACTGTACTTTGCTTGAGTCCCTTCACTGGCGGGAAATAGTTCAACATTCAGGTACAGTACAAGTCCCCGCCTGTGAGTGGGATTTGGTATGAGCTGATTTCCAACATGACATTAAGCATTTCTGAGGGTATCAAGGTTTCATCGCAAAATACGTCTTATATCTTGGTGTTCAGCTAACAATAAAAGGAGAACTAAAACAAAAGTGTTGCATTTATACTTTTGTTCATATTTATAGAGCCCTTTCCAACAGACAAAAGGTGCACAACGTGTTTCACAGTGCATAAGTTAGAAACAAAGAATAAAAACAATACAAAAAAATTCCAGAAGGCCACTAGGTATTAAAAGCCTGCCTGAATAAAAAGGTTTTAAGATTTGATTTGCCCAGATCAGTGATGGAGTGTAAGTCATGAGGAAGGTGGTTCCACAGTCTGCGTGCAGAAACCGAAAATGCCCAGTCACCCCAACGTTTCTATTTGGACGTAGGAGCAAGCAGTAAAAATGTATTAGTTGATCTTAAAATCCTCTCACACAGAAAGCGACAAAACCATCCAAATAAGGTGGGGTAAGACTGTTTTTAAAAGTGAACAATAAAAGTTTATAATCAATTCTAAAACAGACTGGAAGCCAGTAGAGACAAAATAAAATGGGGGTGATGTACTCATAAGATGCCCCACAGCCTGTATGACTTTAGCCTGCACTTGACTATGCACAGAATATGCTTTCATCCCTTGTGTGCATCACACCTCCATCCTGAAATGTGAGTGTCTCGGTAGTTTGAGTACTCAGGATCTCAAAGCCTCCAGTATACTCGCGTGGACGTGGGTCCGCAGAGGTCTGTGCATACCGAATTAGAGTCGAAGCGGACGGCCGCAGGGCATGTCTGTGCAAAGCTCAATGTTTATGACCACGTACACATACTCGGTGTCGCACAACAAACTGCCTGGCAACAAACTGTTTTGTATGCAACACCAATGTATTAAATTTCCCTTCTTCATCCCTGATCTGGCCTTTTCTTTTGTTTTTATTTTTCCAAGAGGCAAGCAATCTCTTCCTCCTCCTCCGTTGACGCCATGACTGAAATGGTGAGAAATGAAGGAATTTGTCACAAGTGTATTCCTGGTGGGCTGGTCTGATGTGTGGGCTGCAGGGCCAGCGCTCCCTGTTTTTTTTTATTTTTTAGAACATTTATTAACAACATATAAACACAGAACACAGCTGCAGCTGGAGCTGCCTGCTC